GACTTTTTTTTTTTTTTTTGAAATTTTTTTTTTCCTGAATTTTTTTTTTCCGGCCGGTCAACCACCATTGACCGCCGCCGGTCTCCGGCGTTGACTTTTTTTTTTTTTTTTTTTTTTTTTTGAATTGTTTTTTCTTAGAAAAAAAATATTTTAATTAATATTACTGTCTTGACTACTAAATTACTGTCTTATACAGTAATATTACTGTTTGGGACAGTAATATTATGAACATTATTTTTCCGAACAGTAATATTATTAATATTATTGTCTAAGACAGTTAAATTACTGTTGGAGACAGTAATTTAACATCCAAGACAGTAATATTAATTAAAATAATTTTTTTTGTAAGGACAAAAATAAAAAAAATAAAAAAAAAAAGTCAATTAACAGTTAAATTACAGTCTCCGACAGTTAAATAACTGCTGGAGACAGTAATTTAGCAACGAATACAGTAATATTAATTAAAAAAAAAATTTATGAATAAAAAAGTCAATTAACAGTTAAATTACTGTCTCCGACAGTTAAATAACTACTGGAGACAGTAATTTAGCAACGAATACAGTAATATTAATTAAAAATATTTTTTTTAAGAATAAAAAAGTCAATTAACAGTTAAATTACTGTCTCCGACAGTTAAATAACTGCTGGAGACAGTAATTTAGCAACGAATACAGTAATATTAATTAAATTTTTTTTTATGAATAAAAAAGTCAATTAACAGTTAAATTACTGTCTCCGACAGTTAAATAACTGCTGGAGACAGTAATTTAGCAACGAATACAATAATATTAATTAAAAATATTTTTTTAAGAATAAAAAAGTCAATTAACAGTTAAATTACTGTCTCCGACAGTTAAATAACTGCTGGAGACAGTAATTTAGCAACGAATACAGTAATGTTAATTAAAAATATTTTTTTAAGAATAAAAAAGTCAATTAACAGTTAAATTACTGTCTCCGACAGTTAAATAACTGCTGGTGACAGTAATTTAGCAACGAATACAGTAATATTAATTAAAAATATTTTTGAAGAAAAAAAAAATAGTCAATTAAGAGTTAAATTACTGTCTCCGACAGTTAAATAGCTGCCGGAGACAGTAATTTAGCAGCCAAGACAGTAAAATTAATTAAAATATTTTTTTTAAGAAAAAACAAAATTATTAAAAAAAATAAATAAATAAAAAATAAAAAAAGTCAACGCCGGAGACCCGGCGGTCAACGGCCGTTGACCGGTCGGAAAAAAATTTCAGGAAAACAAAACTTCAAAAAAAAAAAAAGTCAACGCCGGAGACCGGCGGTCTCCGGCGGTCAACGCCGGAATTTGGCCGGAAAAAAAATATTTCAGAAAAAAAATTTATTTTCTAAAAAAAAAGTTTTGGGGGTTAATGTGATATAATTGTTTAAATCCGGGGTCAATGTGTAATATTTAAGAAGTTAGAGCATAATGGGTGGAATTGATAAGAATTAGGGTTAAAATTGGGGTCAAAATTGAAATTAGGGTTAAAATTGGTTAATTGATGAAATTGGGCTAAATTGGGGTGTAAATCATGAAATTGGAGTTGAATTGAGTTTCAATGAATTGGGGGTAATTTTGGTATATATAAATGGATTTTCCTTATTTGCAAATAAAGTTTGAATGGGTTGGATTTATTTGAAAGACAAAAAAATTGGATGTCCCTCTTTTAATTAAGTGCCTTTGTCATGGGCCTATTTGTCATTACCCCTTAAAATATATATGAGAAGGCCCAATTTTTTTTTCTCTTAAGCAAAAACTCAAATTCTGAACTTAATTAGGTAGACCCCCTAAGGCATAGTGATGTGACCATTTTACCCTCAATTCTGAACTTAATTAGTTTCAACCATCGTTCTCTTCCACCCACAACCCCTCAGCCGCCACCGCCACTTTGCCGCTCACCACTGCCCACCGCCGTTCCCCTTTTGGCTTTCGCCACTTTCCCTCTGCCTTGCGCGACTCTCCCTCCCGGCGACTTCTCCGCCCATCGTCCACAATGAGAAGAGAATTGGTGACGGCGTCTACGCAAGGCGGCTGCGAGCAGGGACGGCGGCATCCTTTTCGTAAAAAAATTCGTTGGTATTAATTAATTTTTGGAATAACATATCCATTTTAATCTCTTGTTTGCATATGCATTTTGAATGAGGACGATGTTAAATGCGAACCAACTGGATTCTGATGAAACTTTTATTTATTTTAGAAAAAAACTCAATAATTTAAGGGTGCATTTGGATGGAGGGATTTGGGGGAGGGATTTCAAATCCATAATAACAAATCCCTCGAACTTGTTTGGATTGAGGGATTTGGAGATGGATTTCAAATCCCCACCCCTCCTTTTTAGTTGATTTTGGAGCAATAGTGATGGATTTCAAATGACTCCAAAATTGGAGTCATTTCAAATCCACTCCCCAAATCAAATCCCTCCCCAAATCCCCCCATCCAAATGGACCCTAATGGTTTTGTTTGAGGAAATTAGCAGTAATAAATGAAATCACTGTATTACTCCCTAAATTTATTTGGTATTTTATTTTATATTGTTCGTGATGGTGGTGGACTCATTGTTAAGGCGAGTCTTGGAATTAGTGGAGCTGCGAAGAATACTATTTTTAATTGTAATGTCGGAAACAGAAGTCCGATCTTATTGTGTTCATTGCTGCAAAACGAAATAGAGACACTCAATGTAGGTTTGGAGTTTGAAGAGGCAGATAATGTGGTTTTCTCTGTTATTGGCCGAAGTGTCTACTGGTTATTATGTCCTTAAAAGTCAACACTCAAATGTGCATAATTGCATTTTCCATTTTTATGTTCTTTTTCTCTAACTCGTATTTTTTTGTCATAGGAATTGTTGTTTTTGCTACTTCTATACAGTAAGGAATTATAAATGTTTCATGAGCTAAGTCTTACTTTTGGATAATGCTAAACATTCTTTGCAAGCTACGCCCATAGTTGTCAGTACATACCGGGCAGCAGGTTCTGTATCAATAGAAGAGAGTGTTTTGTGTATGTGATTTTAATTTTATTAATAATATTAGTTGTATTGTGTTTGATGTTTTGTCAAATTGTTTTGATTTTTTTTTTTTTTTTTGTCCTTTAATTAATTTTTGGTGAATTTGTTTGGATACTGGATTTATTGAGTTTTTTTTTGTTTTTTTTTTATAATCGGTCGACGTTGTTGGTTTGATTTGACTATGATTGGCCATATCTGAGAAAAAAGAAAAAAAATACAGCTTTTCGTATAAGGTTCGATGTAATTTGCATTTTCCATTTTTCTTTTTGTTTTCTCTAACTGGTATTTTCTTTGCCACAGGGATTGTTGTTTTTGCCTCTTCTATACAGTAAGAAATGATGGGGAGAAGTGCTTTACTACATGTTACTATAGTCATATATGGTAACATGACTATTTGTTACTATAGTTATATATAGTAACATTACTACATATATGGTAACATGACTATATGTTACATAGTCATATATAGTAACATTACTACATGTTATTATAGTCATATATAGTAACATATAGTAACATGACTACATGTTACTATCAATGTTTTGAAAACCGGACCGGACCGGCCGGTCCAACCGGTTGAACCGCGAACCGGCCATCCAGCCGGTCCGATCCGATGCATAAACCCAAAAGGGCCAAAAACCCGAGTCGATTGATGAAAACCGGAAATTTTCCGGTTGAACCGCCCAAAACCGGCAAAACCCGTCACCAAAAACCGGTTCCTTATTAAAACTAAAATGAGAGAGAGATAGACAGAAAACTTCATTTCTTTGTGTGTGGTTTGCTGAAAGATAGGTAACGGCAGTGCTTGGGAAAGAGATGGGAAAGGAAAAAAAATAACCAGAGAATATTAACTAGTTGAAAGAGGATGATGGGAAGTGGGGTAATGCCAATAAGGTCTGATGGAGGCGCAAGATTAAGGCTAGAAAAAATTAGGGTTTGGGCTTTGGGCTTTTAATTAGTAATTGTATTGAAATTTTTAGTAAATTATTTTACTATCATAAATTTAATTTGACTATCAAACTTTATGTAAATATTAAATATAAGATTCAATTATGCATTTTTTTGGTATAAAATTCATGCGTATGCATTAATTTTATTTAAAAAAAATTATATATTATTTGAGTATTAAATGCTTAAAAATGATATTTTATGATTAATACATATACTTTGTGTGCATATTTATATCATTACCACTTTATGGTCATACAAATAATTAAAAAAATGAAAAAACCCGGTCGGACCCCGGTCGGACCGGTCCAACCGTGACCCAGTTGCTTGTCCGGTTCGATGTCCGGTCCGGTTTTCAAAACATTGGTTACTATAGTCATATATAATAACACATAGTAACATTAGTCATGTATGGGTTATGTGTGTTTTTAATATAGAGTGATAATGATGATTTTGTTCTTTATTCAAGAACATATGCATGTGATTGTGTATTTCGATCTATATTTGTACAATTTGATATATAATATCAATATTTATTTCGATCTATATTTATACAAGTTGATTTATAATATCAAGAATTAAATTGTAATTTTTGTTGTTGGTGTCGATGAAGTTCTTTTTTGTATATAATCAGCGGTTTACATAGTCGGTCGACTATATATAACTATATAATTTTAGGGTGAAGAAAGGTACATGACTAGATATAACTTTGGAGTAAAAAGAAGGTACGTGACATAGTCACATGTAGTCAATTTATGTACAAGAAGTTTTATAGAAAAAATATTTTTAAAAAATTAAAAAAAGTTAAAAAAAAATTAAAAAATTAAAAAATTAAAAAAATTAAAAAATTAAAAAAAATAAAAAAAAAGTAACAAATTAGAAAATATGAAAAATTTTAAAATTAAAAAAGTTTAAAATAAATAATAAAAATAAAAATGAAAAATAATAATAAAATAAACATTTATAATTTTTTATTAGAAATTCTAAAAAAATGATAAATGCAGCTCCAAAAATGCTAAATGCAGTTGGCTATTATGCTGAATGCAGTTGGCAAAATGCTGAATGCAGTTGGGCAAAAATTACAAATAAAGGCACGATAGTACTTTTGCCGCTCCAAAGGTTATCTCAAAGAAAGAATTTTAGGTGGTGTTTGCAAATGCTTTTTGAAAGTGATTATGCGGTTTTTTTTGCTCATAATCTGTTTTTAGGTGTTTGCAAAATCAACTTTTGCTTTTGCTTCTCTTAAAATAATCTGCTTTAAGCTATTTTTTTAAAAGCACCCATAACCCTGCTTTTTCAATTTTAGTTCATTTTCCGAAATATTTGCAAACACCCCCAACTTTTAGAAATAATCACTTAAAACTAACTTAAATCACAATCACTAACTTCTGCTTTTAAATAATCATTTGCAAACACCACCTTAGGGGTGGACTTATCCCTATGTATTTTCCATTCTAGGGGAGTATATGAAAAAAAAAAAAAAAAACTTAACCACCATTAATTAGAAATAAAAAAAATTGGAAGCTCATACAATTTAAATAAAGTTAGGAAACATATATTAAACATGCAGCAGAAAATATAACTCACATATGAAAAGAACTTTTGAAAATGACAAACTTAGCCCACTCCCTGAGCTTGCGGTTGTCTCTTCTTCAGATTTTTTCGAGTTAAAACCGAAAATCGTCCTCAAATGCTGTAACCAAATTCTCAAAGTAAGTTTGGGCGGCACAGGTAAGGTTCGTCAGCTTCACCCGAAAATCGTTGAAATCGGGGGAAGGACAAAGGACGTATTTTTGAATCTCCTTCTCAGCACAATGGTGAAGCCTCTCCAGTGCAGCCTCTGCGTCCCCTTGCATGTATTCGAAAAGTGCCATCTTCTTCGATTTAGCTAAAGATAAGTAGTATCCATATGCGTAACTCCATTTCAAAACAAGCCTGCACTCCACTATCTGCTCCAAGGCATCAATCACAAACATCAATTTCCATTTCTTTTCGCCCTGGACACACGCAAGGGTCTCAATAATCCCGTTTCTGGCGCATTTCAGATTAGCCACAGCAATTTCCCTCGATTTATGATTCGAAAGCCATCTCTCATAGTAGTGCTCATATCCGTCAAAATATTTCGAGTTGTCAGTATCTACTGAAGTACTCTCACCTTCATTTTTTTCATCCTCGTACTCGTTGCAATAGTGGTCGTGGCTCCATTTCTCGAGGCACAACCAACAAAACTGGAACCCACAGGGGCTTCCACATGTCATATGATTGCATCCATGGTTTTTCTCTATGTACCTACGGCACTTAGGACAGGGCTTCGTGTAAGACGATATCCATCTAACGGTGTCCGCCTCAAAGCAAGTGTTTTGCTTGCGCCACGTATCCGCTGTCTCACAATCCATAGGGCGATGTGTCTCCTCCAAGCAATTCCAACAAAACCTGTGAGAGCAATCGCAAGTCACGTCATAGCCCTTGGGGCCGTACTCGTCTAACCGGATCGCTAAATTGCATCCCGGGCCTGGGCACCATTTCAGATTCAAGGTGCCTTCAACATAAGAAGACGACAAATATCCATAGTACTTGTCTTTATCGGAATCCGAAGCCAAAGAGTCGACAATGTCTAAACCTACGTAGGCTTTGCATCCAGGCTCGGGGCAAGGCATCTTCAAGCATCCAGGGCCATTGTTGTTGATGGAGACAGTAAGATAAGTCTTCCAGCAATCGAGACAAAAGGGGTGGGCCCCACAGGGGGCGGACAATGTATTCTCAATCTTGATTTCTCCGAAACAAATATTGCAGCAACAAAAGTCGAGTTGTTTCGGTGATTCTTGTTTTTCCGGCAATAAACCAACTGCCTCGCGGACACTTTTCTCATCAGAAAACCATTTGTCGTAAAGCAGAGTCGTACTCCAACGGTTTTGGACCAAGAGGGTGCAGGCAATGCCCCTTGAAACTGAGAGAAATTTGGAAACTTCGGTTATGAGGCTATCTCGGAGTTGACTGATTTTTTTTTCTCCAAGGCATGAGTAATATATCTGGAAGAGAAAAATCATTTCTGGGGGGCGGGTATCCACATCTTCGAGGTCCCAATGTTCACCATAACAAATATAATCCATGGAACTTTGACTGGGATACGATCACCAACTGCAAATTTTAAGAAGCTTGAGTATGTTCAAAACTGAAAACTACTTTGCAACTCGCTATATCAAGTACACACTCACATGTGAGAGTGTGTGTGTGTGTTGTATATATTCATATTTTGGACAAACAAGAAGTTTACGAAGAATTGAATCCAATCCCATGTATTTGGTTACCTATATAAAAGCCCTCAACCTACCCAAAAAAAAACGGAGTCTTTTTCGCAGGACTGAAGATTATTTGCAGAAACATAAAAAAAAAAGAGTTTCTTCATTCTTGGTTTCGTAAAAGGACAACGGGAGATAATAACCTAATAGACTCCTTATATACCTAATTGACTCCTTATATGATGCAATTACAAGTACTAAATTAATTTAATCATCTTCATGTTTCCTAATTTGAAGGTTGTAAAATTCAGGACCGAAAACTCTATCAACATCATCATAAAAAAAAAACATGAATTAACTCGTTTCAGTTCTTTTTATTATCATCACAAACAAAAGATTGCTAAAAAAAATTCTTCAACAATAGAAATCGGCATAATATGCTTCAAATTGGATGCTAATATAGAAAAAGCTGCTAAATAAGTTTTATTCCAATTTCAGAGCAAAAGCAATTGAAGGCTGAAACTTCAAAAAGCACTTATCAACAACTAAGGTTCAAAATCGCAATGGCCTCGGCCAAAAGAGAGAAGAAAAGAGGGACCTTTTATCTGTCTTCACTGCCGCCGCCGCCGCCGCCGCCGTATCTAGTCAATTCCTTTGCCGATGTCGCCGTCTCCGCCGTATAATTTACAACGAAAAAAACCCTAGATCAATCCCCCTTTTCGTCGGAGTTGTGAAAGAGATGAATTGCTCTTGTCGAAGATAGATAAAACCTTTATAATTTATAGGGTAAATTACAAACACCCCCTGAGGTATGGTCAAATTACAAAAACCCCCCTCTTGTTTGGATAATTGCATCTACCCCTCAACTATGATTTTTTTCTTACACCTCCACCCTTATTGTGTCTAATTCAATATAATCATCTAGATTCCGTGGAATGTGCTATAGTTTGTATTCGTTATGCGTAAAAATACAGTTTCCGATGCACTACAAACTGATATACACAAGCTAAAAATCACATATTATGATCATCTTACTTTATAATGTAGAGTTTGAATAGTATAAAACGGGTACAGAAGTGATAATATTTCATATAATCTCGAAGATTCCACTAAATTTGAAGAGCTGAGGGGTGGTTGTAATTATCCAAATAAGAGGGGTGTTTTTGTAATTTAACCATACCTCATGGGGGTATTTGTAATTTACCCTAGTTTATATAGTAATAGCCCGAGCCTGGATCGGGTCGGCTCGGATTGTCACACCACTAGCCTACTACCCGACCCGAGACGTTTCTGATGTTCCACGTCACAATGGCCTTTTGCACCCTACAAATATGTCTATTGACACTATGCACCCTCAATTCGATATATTTGGCAAAATTGAACCCTAAAGAAATTTTCTTATGCATCGGGGCAGCAAAAATAAATTAATAATACCACTTTTTTCTCAATTCTATACCACCTAGACCTAGTTTAAAACCTCAACTTAATATATTTTATTATTTTTTTTCATTTTTTTCTTACTTTAATATGAAGAAGTACAAAAATATCTTTACGTGCAAAATATCAACTTATACAAATGACATTGATATTTCTCACTTTAATATCAATTAAAAAATAATAATAATAATTCTCTTCCCAACCACCGCCGCGGACAGTCGCCGCTCACAAGTTACCGGCTTACCGCCTACCAACCTAGGTGAAGCTATCGCCGCCGACGACCCTAGGCCAAGTTACCGCCGTCGCGGACGACCAAGTAAATACATCGGAGCAATCGATCTACACAAAAGTGAAGAATTTAAGTAAATTTATAATAGAAAACTTTCGACACATTAATGTCGAATTTATGGGAACTTTCGACACATTACCGTCAAAATTTATTACCAAATCGACACCAGTGTGTCGAAAATTAAGTTTTTCAGATTAATGTGTATTTTGGCATTTTTCGACACATAAGTGTCGAATTATTGATAGTTTTCGACACATTTATGTCGAAAATAACCATATATCACTACAAGAAAAATCGCCTGTGGTAACGACAAAATTGGTCGCCAAATGTCAGATTGTCGTCACCTTAACGTTTCGTAACGACGTAATTGGTTACCTTTCTTTGTCGTGTAAAGCTCAACGCTAGAAGTTTAGGTAACGGTTTCTTATTATTCGTTACTAATACATTGGTAACGAAATAAAATTAGTTACAATAGCATATTAGTTGTAACAAATACGGTCCTCGCTATATATTTTTAGTCGTTACGAAAGTCTGAATTCGTTACCAATAATCAGTTTCATGAAATTTAAAATATAATAATGTCATGGTTACAAAAACTTCTTATGACAATGATATTTTCACCAATACTTTTTTTTTTTTTTTTTGATATTATTTTTAATTTTTTTTGTAAAATAAAAAAATGAATTGAGAATTTTCTGACAACAAGAATATTCATTCAAAATAATTATGTAAGATAATATAACATTAAAAAATTTATATCGATTATAAACACCAAACATTTCATTGTAGATACATGCTTCAAAGATACATCAGGACTCAAAAACAATTGAGAAGTAGCAAAATGTTCTAAATAGTATCCTTAGTGATGCATGATTGATCAAAATACAAGCTAACTTTCAAAACTTTACACTGGACCATTCTTTGTTGTATTAACACCAAAAACCTGCAAATATAAGCATTATTTAAATTTTATTAGACGTTTAAGCATAAAACCAGTAAAAAAACATTAGAAAAACAAAACTATAAGGTTGTATGAAAAAAATTTGGAAGAAGATACCTATCTCCAAAGTCAAATTTTAAGCACACATTTCTGGAAAAAAATTCCTTAAGTCATATCATCTCCTGTTCAAGCATGTAATAAGAGTAATCAAACAAATTAATTATCAATAAAGATTACAAGAAGAAGACAAAAATGCTCAGATCAATCATATGCCCAAAAATAATTACACATAAACATATTATACAACACCAAATTAAAGGAATATGGAACCAAATTTTATCACAATTCTAATCAACTTATATTTTATCAAAAATCATCACACTAACATAAAATAAAATTAAAATATGAAAATGATAGCAACAAACAAGTATAACTTACAAAGTTTGTCTTGATTGCTTGAACTATTTTGTTGCAATAAACGCAATAGCATTTGCTTCAATTCGTCTTGCCCTTCCCTTAGGCCTTGTATTTCATCATCTTGCTTTTTGCAACGGTCATCATAGTTTTGAATTAGTGCTTCTTGCGTTTGAATCAATTCTTGTTGGGATTTAATACGACAAGTAGCATCTTTCAGTTCATCTTCAGTAACACTCAACTTTTCTTGAAATGTCTCCAATTGTGAAGATTCACATGTTGACCTCTTCGAACATTTAGAAGGCACAACTCCATACCCCAAGCCCTTCTCATATCCAGATCGTTTACCAAGTACCTTATTTACAATTTCCCGCTCAGAAGTTATACTTTCATTTTGATTTAGTTCATTCCTCATATTTTCCATTTTAACCTGTGAACGTTTAACAAAGTCAAGTCCATAATTCATGTTTAGATATATAAATATGTATCAATTAAAATGACATTTGTGCACAGTCCAACATACATGTACATCTGCGGCCTTCTCATTCACAAAAGTATCATTTCTCTTATGAGTCATGGCAAAAATATCCACGTAGCTTTGATTTTCCTTTCAAATTAGAAAAATAAAATATTAGAACCAACATTACCAAACTAAACAAATATCAATCAAGATCAATCAATATATTACCATTTGCAATAGCGGTGTATGAAATAATTTTGAACCTGAAGTATTAGTATAGGGTAGAAAAATAAAATATTATAACCAACATTACCAAACTAAACAAATATCAATCAAAATCAATCAATATATTACCATTTGCAATAGCCGTGTATGAAATGATTTTGAACCTGAAGTATGAGTATAGTAAAAGTTAAAATCTTACTAAAAGTTTTAACACAATTCACAAAATGATATTTATATATCAAACCAATTGTAATAATACCTTGAAATTTTCAGTTTCATAGTAATCACACAAAGTACGCCATTTTCGAAGTTCTATCCAATCAAACGGACTACAAGCCTTGGGATCTTTTTCTTCTTCAATCATACGTTTATAAGCTCCTGATAATCGACCTTTCCAATGCGTATAACTTTTTTGGAACATCTCCTCCATATAACTTTGAACTACTGGATTATTTCCCCATCCTTTGATATTAAACCATGTCTAAAATTGGTGGACAAGAGTAACTATCAAAATAAAGAAATTTATTTCATATCTATGACAAAGTACAAATGTAGAAAACCATTGTACTTACATCTAATCCAGCATAAATAGGTAGCTTTTCGTGTTCTGCAAGGTCACTCCAGTTACTCATACAATCAAGTTCAGGACTGTGCCTAATAACAACTCCAATTCCAGTTGCTAAGTGATTAGCAAATTGACGTGGCTTTTTAAAACCTTCAGGAAACTCAATTTCTAATAATTGTCCTTTCTAATCACAAATAAAAGAATATATATAGTTATAATTAGGTACATGTAACAAAAAAGAGAAATGTATATCAAACAATAGACACTAACATTTTCAGTAATTGCTTTCTCTATCGATTTTCCTGTAGTTGCTATGCGGCCTCTTTTCTTTGTGGAAACTGATACTTATTCATAAAAATACAAATATCTAATAAATAGATGATAAAGTTAAGTATTATTAGAAAAATGCATAAAATTACCAGTTGAGTTTTCAGGGATTGATAAAGAACTTTCACTTTCGTATCCTTGTGTATCCTAATGAAGATGGGAAGATGTAGATGAAGTTGGCACACGAGATGACGGGATTTCAGATCGTGAATTTGCCGACACAAATGGAAGTTCTTGGGCGACTGAAGATACTTCTACATTTGCATCTTTACTCCTCCTCGTTAAAATGCGACGCGGTATTATATTATTAGGTGGCATTTAACTGCACAATTAAATAATCAATTAAGTTAGCAAATAAAGAATAATACGTAAAACATAATTCGCTCTTAAAAATTTTAGAAATTGTTCCACGCAATTAATTTAAATTCTCTCTCAGATTCTGTTAGTAAAAGTCTCAAAGAATCTATATATGTGAAGAATTTATTTAATGTTTCAAACATGTACAATTTATTCTCAACTTTTAACAATTAAAAAATGAAGCCACCACGAGGGAAAATAAAACTAAAGGATTTCATGTAATTGATTTATATACCTCATATGAGAAAGGGTTTCCAATTCTTCAATAACTATTTCGACCCCTTTGGGAATCGTAATATGAATTATAAGTTGTAATACTCAGTAGGATTCAAGCACTACATAATCTTAGTACAGTTGCACCTAGGGGTGGAAATCGGAACGAAATTTCCGATTTCCGCCGAATCCGATCCGATTTTTTCCGATTTTGGAACGAATTTTCGTAGTCCGAATTCCGAAATTCCGATTTCCGATTTTTCTCAGGATTTATGTACCTTGAATTGTCGCTCTCTATTGGCTCAGCCGCCTTTGCTAGAAAAATCAAGTGAACTCGCGAGGTGTGCAGTGGCAGTAGGAAGAGTGACGATCTGTGACGATGGTGAAAATTGAAAACCCTATCTTCGTCTTTGTCTGTTCATTTGGTTCTTTGTCTTCTCCGCTGGAATAATCCAGAGAAACATAAAGAAGAGGCGCTAATTTTGCCGCTTAGTATTTTGGGACTCTTTTAGTCCAAATTTTAACCTTAAGTTAAATTTATTTAACTAAAGGTGTTTCTACCACTACGGTACTTATTAAAATAATTAATGTTTTTAACATGCATCAGATAAATTTTCTGCAAAAAAATCAAACATAAAAAAAAAGATTTAATAAATTAATTAAACAAAAATTAATAAAATAACGTAGTATATAAAGCTTTAAATTTAAATTAACTTTTTAATGATTATTAATTAAATCAAGGATAATTGTTCAATACTGTTTAACCATAATAATCAAAATTTGTTCCTTTTTTTTTTAGGGAAAATATATATATATATATATATATATATATATATATATATATATATATATATATATATATATATTGTTATGACTAAAAATATAAATAAATAATATATTTTTTTTTAATTTTTACTTGTATTTACTTAATATTATTTTTATTATATATTAATTATATTTATAATAAAAAGTAATTAAAAATTGGAACCTTTTGTGAGCACATTATTGCTGTCACTAAAGATTATTTTCTTTTGTGACAACTTGATACTAAAGGTAACGAATACTATTGTTTGTCACCATAAAGAAAACTTTTGGTAACTAACAGTAAATCTCTTGTAACCAAGTAATCAAGTTGTCACCGAAAAAGGAATTTATCGTAACGAATTATTTCTTTTTGTAATAACTAATCCCAGTCGTTACCCAAAACTGCATGTTTCGCGACAATACTTAAAGTTTGTTACAGTAAATGAGTTATTGTAACCAAAACTTGGTTTGTTACCATTGTATCGTTATTTAAAGTGTCTTTTTTTTAGTGTATTTTTGTCAATTCCTTGTTTCCACCATTCACTGTGACAAAATTGATACACTGTATAGATATTGCAGTTCAGATAAATAAAAATATTGTCTTTAAATTCCTCTTATAAGATTTTGCAACTTTACTTTATTGGCTACTTAAACTATAAATGTAAAACTAGGTCAGTAAATAACTCCATAATTCATATCAAAAGAAAATAAAAAAAAAAGAATAACTCCATAATCGGAATTCGGAAGTATGTGCGTGTGTGATTTAAGAAATTTTCGACAGTAAGAAAACAAATTCCCCACTTCCGATTCTATTTTTTGAACTGAATTGGAATTGATTCCCCGCTTCCGGGAAAAAAAAAAGGAATTTTTCCGAATTCCGCGGTATCTAATTATCTAATCTAATCTGTCTCATTTCCACACTTATATACATCACAACGACAAACTTTATGCACTTTCCGTTATCCTTTCTTGAAACTCTAACGAGTTAAAACCAAAAATCGTCCTCAAATGCTCTAACCAAATTCTCAATGTAAATTTTGGCTGCACCAGTCAGGTTGTGTTAGTTTTATTTTTTGGGTAAATTACAAACACCCCCTGAGGTATGGTCAAATTACAAAAACCCCCCTCTTGTTTGGATAATTACATCTACCCCCTCAATTATGATTTTTTCTTACACCTCCACCCTTATGGTGCCAAATTTAACATAATCATCTAGATTCCGTGAAATTTGCTCTAGTTTGTACTCGTTTTGCGTAAAAAAACAGTTTCCGATGCACCAAAAACTGATATATACAAGCTAAAAATCACATATTATGATCATCTTGCTTCATAATGTAGAGTTTGAATGAGATAAAACAGGTACAAAAGTGATAATATTCCATATAATCTCGAAGATTTCACTAAATTTGAGTAGTTGAGGGGGTGGTTGTAATTATCCAAATAAGAGAGGTGTCTTTGTAATTTGACCATACCTAGGGGGGTATTTGTAATTTACCCTTATTTTTTTAACGTTTTAATTTAGGGTGAGCATTTGGACCGAACCATCCGTTAATAAGGCAAAATCGGATTCCATCCACTCATTGACACGTGTCTATGTTTCCTTAGAATTGGAGAATTGTACTCCCACTCTAAACTAATCGGCTGAAGGTTAATTTAATTTGATCATTGAAATTCTTTTATTTATATTTTTTTTGTATTTATCTTTTTATTTTTATTTTATTTCTCTCCTTTAATTTTATTTTTCTCATTTTCTTAGTTTACATGCTATTTTTTTACCATATAATATTAATTAAAAAGAATATTACAATTAAATTTCTACCACTAAATAAACTCTGGAACTAACAAAATTTTGTATACTCAACAAAATCTAAAAAATAGTAAATTAATAATTATTATTTAATTGAATTTAGATGAACCCTTGGATGAAAAATCTAGTTAAGTTTTAGCATGTGAGGCGAAATTAATTAATTGTAACCTTTATTTGTCATAATAAAATTACATAATTTAAGTTTTAAACTAATAATATAGTATATTAATTTTTTGTACAATTATTTTGTTATTTAAACAGAATCATTTTGATGTAAAATTGGTCATAATAAAAATTAAAAACTACAACTTTTGGAAACTTCTTACGCAACCAGAATCTCTCTTTGCTAGCATTATGAAAGCTCGGTACTTTCCTACTGGGAACGTTATGACAGCAGAGCTTGGCTATCGACCTTCGGCTACGTGGCGAAGTCTTCTCAAAGCTCGGCCCATGCTTGCACTGGGCATACGTCGAAGAATTGGGAATGGCAATTCCACAGCAATATGGGGAGACCCTTGGATACCCGATTGTTCTAACTTCAGAATCCTCTCTACGCGGCCACGGGATACGGCTTTTCCGGACAGAGTGGCGGACTTAATTGACTCCACTTCTCGATCCTGGAACCTACCGCTTGTGAATAACACGTTTTGGCCAATTGATCGAAATCGAATTCTTAGTATCCCAATCGGCAGCGGAACATCGATGGATAGATGGGTTTGGCACCACTCTAAGGATGGGAAGTTCACAGTTCGTTCGTGTTACCAGGCGGCGACCGCTCTGCAGACCGTGTGTAAAGGAAACGGGCAGAATATGGGCTCAACTAGTGGCGATCCTCATCAAGAGTGGAATTTCATTTGGCGTCTCCAATTACCACCTAAGATCCGTAACTTCGTTTGGAGAGCATGTTCGGAATCACTCCCTACAGGTGTGAAACTCTTCCGACGAAAAATGGTCTCGTCACCTATGTGTTTTCGTTGCGGAGTCACAGAAGAATCGTTCACACATGCAATCTCTTGTGGGGGGGTGAACGATATATGGGCAGCCCCTCCATTCTTACTTGTTCCGTTTGATCGACGAATGTCCTCTTGGTCTTGGCTTTCATCTCTCCGCAATACCCTTTCAATAGAGGCATTTACATTGGCTATGGTAGTGGCTTGGAAAAGTTGGGGTTTGAGAAATTGTTTGCTGCATGGTGGGAATGTAATCACAGATGGTGTCTCCATTGATTGGTGTGCAGCTTTCCTGGCCAATTATCAACAGCACATGGCGCGAAGAACCATATCATCCAGACCCCGATTTTCTTCGGAGTGGACTGCACCAGACCCTGGGTGTATCAAAATTAATACCGACGCAGCTCTCCCTCCAGGTTTGTCGTTCCATACAGTTTCATTAGTGGCTAGAGATCACAACGGCTCATGTCTCGCGTGGGCAGTCAAAAAAATTCCAGGCGTTCCATCACCGAAGGAGTGCGAAGCTCGAGCAATCTTAGAGGCAATGAAATTTGCGGTATACAAGGGATGGTCGGCGGTTATATTTGAAGGTGATTGCTTGGAAGTTATCAACGCTCTCAAGCTCGGCGAGGTGTCAAATGCTTCTTACGGAGCATATCTCGACGAGTGCTTCAATATTTTAAATTCTTTTTCGAGTTGCACTTTCTCATTTATTAGACGTAAGGGCAATGTTTTGACCCACTTGCTTGCCACGAAATATCTCTCTTTTGGTTCGGAAGGCGTTTTGCTTCCTAACATTTTGGCGACCCACGTATAATAAATCCTCGTTTTCCATCAAAAAAAAGATTGGCATTATAAATTTTAAAATGGATTGCAATATAGGGGGGAGCACGTCTCCAATCCAAAAAAAAATGCACACGTGTCCATCAGTGGGAACCATTTTTGTCTTGTTAACGGAACGTCCGTTTGGAATTTAATCCTTTTATTTTAGTGGCGTATTTAACCTTTGTATTTAAT